AGACTTTTCCATTGCTTATGAGCTAAAACAGACCATTGACCCGGACACGCCTGGACATCAGGTGAACCTCCTTGAAATGTTTTTAACCTCCTACTCTGACAAATGCTTATCAAAAGTTTTACCTCCACTAGGCACGTCAGACCATTAATCAATATTCAGAATGATACCAAACCTAAGGCATCCTCTGACGTACCGTTTCCACAGAACGGTCTCTCGCTAAACGAAGACAGATTGAGACAGCTTCTACATAATTTAAGCTCCACTGTAAATGTTTTCAAGCAGGCTGCCACGAAAAACATGCGTTTGTCTCTAATTAGCCCCTTTCTAGAATAGCCACCAAAACCCACCAAAAATTCCAGCAAAAAAATCAGTCAACTCTGGTTCTCTCCTGAATGCTCCGCAAACGTAACTTACCGAAACCATTACTTCAATATCTATCTCAAGGAGCGATGTAGTTTGGCCCTTATTGCATCCAGAACTTCCCTCAATCACTGCAAAATGTTCTAGATAACGCCAAGTGCAGCTAGACACGAGAAGTTCAGATCAAGGTTTAAAAAGAATCAAATTAGATCCTGTAAATTCTGGAAGATGATCAACCAAACTATGAACAGAGGTAAAGCGGTCGTGCCCACACTTGTAAATGGCCCCGAGGTGATATCTTACTAGACAAATAAGGTGAACCTCTTCGCCTCCATCTTCGTCTCTAAGTCAAAGTGAGATGGAAAAGACCACCTCTCCCCAAGTTCCCATATCTCACCGAGCACAATCTCAGTAACATTGGCATCACAGTACGAGGAATCTCCAGGCGTATCAAAAGATTTGACCCAAAGAAATCCACTGGTTCAAGCAAAATTCCAGTGGTTGTCTATGAGAAAAACAACACGGAATTATCCCAATCCTTGCCAAATTATTCAACTTGAAGAAGATATAATTCCCAAGCCGGTGGAAAGTGTCAAAAGTATTCTCGGGTTTCAAGAATGAGGGCGTGCGATCTTCCTACTCCCTGTACAGACGGATCAGTCCCGTCAGTATCATCGGCAAACTCTTTCAGGCCATAATCAATAAGAGTGACATCGAGCAACTAGAAAAGAACAACCTCTTCAGCGACGTTCAGTATGGGTTTCGGTCGGCCCGATCCACTGTTGACGTCCTAACTACGATCACTCACAGAATCAGCGAGGCTCTTGACGACAAACACACCTCGAAGACCATAGCATTAGATATCTCAAAAGCCTTTAACAAGGTGTGGCACAAAGGCTTACTACACAACCTATCCAGTTATGGAATCACTGGAAGGGTCTTCTCGATCATAAAATCTTTCCGTCTCTGAAGGTTGTTATCAATGGCCAGTCTTCTGGGGCCCTAGAGTTCAGCGCAGGCACCAATCGGAAAAAATACATGATATTTCATCACTCTTTTCTTTGTTTCTACCAAACTTTTCCTGTTTCTTAATACTTTGCGTAGCTTTTAGAAGGCACCTTTCTCCCTTTCAATGAGCCTTCGTATTTCTGTGTCGTATTTTCCATCCTCTGTTAAAATGCTTCCAGATATTTAAATTTTAATGTAGGTATCTCCCATTCGTTGTTAGTATCTTGTACTTTTTCTTTTGTCAAAAACTCTACAGGGTGGTCTGAATATCTTGTCACCGCTACATAAGATGATTTTCTATTTCAGATGGCTGACATGAGTTTCTATACATTGTTTTTTTTTATGGTTTATCAACCTTTTACAGGTTATTTAAAGCTAGGTAATAATTTTAGATTTTAAGAAATTTTGGAGATAATAATTTACTAATTAATCCATAGCTGGGGGGAGAAGAGGTGAATTCATGCTTTTCCCAACCGTGTTTGTCTGTAAGCGAATATAAAGAGCCCGACTGCAATTAGAACCCGGCTCTCTGATTTTCTGTTTCCATTGCATCATCCGCACACCAAATCTTACATTTATTCCCAAGCGGTCTCCCATTTAGGTACTTAACGATATCGGTGTTGCTTAATTTCATCGTAAGAGAACTGGTGTTTCAACGTGATACGGCCGTAAACCCAATTAAAATGGAGGAAAGATATTTAGGAAGGGAAAAAAAAGGAGAGTCGATGGACGATGAAAATAATATAACTAAATAAGAGTAAACTGTTCTTGTTCCACTACCCCAGTCTAACCCCGAAGATCAAATAAGGTCTTCAGTTCTTTGCCCTGATCGATATACATGTGATGAAGGCCGAAGGTCACAATGATCCAGACGTGTGATAGCAACAAACACAAGAACAATAGTCCGAGTGTAAATAGCGTAAATAATGATAACTCCTCATCTCAGAAATTCAGACAGAAAAAAATAAAATAGGGGTTCCAGTTTGGTGCGTGAATTCCTTGCCAATTAATTCTACACCCTACGCCGGCCAAAATAAATGCATAAATGTGTTTTCTTAAAATGAAAAAATTGAAAAAAAAAAAAAAAAAAAAAAAGAGTTCAAATTCTCAATATGGGGTTCTTTTTTCATGTACAATAAAAACTTTCATACCCGGAATACCTCATATCCGTAATCCTTCATATCCGGAATCTCTAATCTCCGGAATCCCTCATATCCGGAATCCCTCATCTCCGGAATCCCTCATATCCGGAATCCCGCATAGCCGGTATCCCTCATATCCGGAATCCTTCATATCCAGAATCCCTAATCTCCGGAATCATTCATATGCAGAATCCCTAATCTCCGGAATCATTCATATCCGGAATCCCTCATCTCCGTAATCTAAATATAACCTCTCATATCAGGAATTTGTAACCAATCCCTCATATCCGGAAGACCTTCTTAGTCCGGTTGTCAGAGATTCTGCTGTATGAATATATGACCCAGTATGTCGGAAAATTAGCGCAACTACTACAACCTTCGCTGTTCCCTTTCTCAGTAGTAGTAATAGTAGTAGTAGTGGCAGCCGCAGCAGCAGCAGGAGTAGCGGTACATAGATGTTAGCGGCGATATTTCGCTTCTTCGCCCTCAGCTTCAGCAACACACACAGTGGATGCTTCCTTTTTAATCTCTGACGTCTCTGCATTCGAAGACAGCCAAACCCAAAACTCGCACTCCTCCCGGTTGGCTAGCCTGTTTATGAAGAGAACCGGTCTCACGTGTCCCAGTCTGGTGACATATCTGTTTTTCTAGTGCGAACGTACTGACATACTAACAAAGTACAACTTCACTCCTCCGAGAATAAGCAATTTACTTTCTCATCGATTGGTTTCCAAGGTTCACAACAAGACGCTATTGTTTATCACCTCGCTATTAATTATTCTTAATTTAAAATCTTTTCATTTGTACCATCAAGTACTCCATTTATTACCCGCACAACCATTAAAATACGAAGTGCTAATATTTTTAACTATGTACCTTCTTTCACTTTCAACATCATTTCGACTTATACAGCATCATCATCTTTGTTGTTGTTTTTGTTGCTCTTCTTCATCTTTCCTTCTTTTTTTCTTTCTTTGTCCTAGAAGTAGCTCGTACGCTACAACCTGCCAATACTTTTATTAAATAATGGACTATTCCGTTTTGACTGCAAGGAAAGCAGAAAAGACATATCAGAAACGCTGTCTGGTTTCAATGAGAAAAAAAGAAACAAAGAAAGCGAAGTCAGACGAGGCGATAAAACTCTCATATGTTTAAAGTCTGTTTCAGTGAATTGAAAAGAACTTGTTAATTTCAAATCTTTTCATTTGTACCTACTTAGTTTATTATAAATAATGGTCTACATTCATACTTAGGATTGTTACTGCAATCAACCTTGTCAACACCCCATAAATAATAGACTATTCCATTTTGATCATGTGGAAAGACGGAAAAGACTTATAAGAGACGCTACTTGGTTTCAGTGAAAGAAAGAATGTTTAATTTCTCCTGCTAATTCCTTATAAATAATGAACTATTCCGTTTTGATCTCGTTAGAAGACAGAAGACATCAAAGACGTTACGTGGTTTCTGTAAGAAAATGAAAGAAAGAAGTGAAGATAGTGATGGTTAACATCTGTTTCAGTGACGTGTAAAAAGGTATTAATTTCTAATCTTTTCATTTGTACCCTCCTAGTTTATTGAATAATCATCTGCATTCATACATAGGATTGTCATTGCAATCAACACATTCGATGCCTCATAAATAATGGACTATTCCATTTTGATCACGTGGAAAGGTACAAAAGACTTATCAGAGATGGGCATGGTGTCAGTGAAAGAAAGTTTTTAAATTCACCTTCTAATATCTCATAAATAATAGACTATTCCGTTTTCATCGCGTGAGAAGATAAGAGACATTAAAAACGCTACTTGGTTTCAATGAGAAAATGAAAGCATGAAGTGACAATAGAATTGTTAAAGGTGTTTCAGTGAAATGGAAGAAGGTGTCAGGTTCAAATCTTTTTATTTGTACCCTCTTACTTCTTTGAATCATCCTCTGCATTCATACTTAGGATTGTTATTGTAATATTTGGTTAAAGTTGTTTAACGATGCAATACAGAAAATTCCACAGATATTCTTATAGTCGGAGAACTCGTAAAGAGTTTATTGAATGATTATCTTGAAATTCTTCAGAAAATTCAAATAGGAAAACCGCGAATTTTGCCCGATCAGTTCTAGTTATTGTTATCATTATTGTTGTTGTTGATGCTGCTGCTGCTGATGATGATAATGTAATTTAATTAATGTTAACTTCTCTACCATGACTATCATCATCGTCGGTATGAAATGGAATTCGGCGTCACCCTTCCCGCCTTCATTTCTCCTTAGACAACCCCCACCCCTTGTCTTCTTCACTTCGATCACTCTCTTCCCTCGACGTCATCAGAGAGACCCTCCATAATCACTTCCCGCAATCAACGTCTCGTGTAAGCGAGCCCCCAAGTTTACGAGTGCGTGCTCTTTCGGTTATTCGATAGTCGTTCACTTCCCGATATGGCGCCTTATTTCATTCCACATGCTTCGGCGTCTGCGCTCAGATTATGACGAACGATTTTCTGCGGAGGAACGATGAACCAACTCCGCGGGAAAGAGATTCGTTAGTGCGCTCGAGGAGGGGGGCATTGGTTTTCCGTGTTTCGGTGTAGGCGAGCATGCGCCTGTGTGTTTTCATGTGTGCGTATAAGAGAGAGAGCAAGAAAAAAAAAAGAACGTATGGATGGGTATGGTCTGTAAGAAATAAAATGAATTATTTCGGCACACACACAGAGATGCGGGCAGGCGAGCGCGCACACATCCATACACGTAAACACACGGACTGTCGACTAAGTAACGTAAATGTAACTTTTATAATTCTCATAATTTAAAAAAAAAAACAACAATTTTTATATAATTCCATGAGTACATATATTGGATACTGTTAAATTCTTATACGCATTATTTCTGGGTGTCTGTGTGTGGGTGTTAAACGCTTCGTTTTTACCTTACGGGCTTTTTACTTAAAAGCAAACAAAAAATGGATAAATAGTCAATCAGGCCATTTACCTGCGCACTATTGTCATCATTTTTGTTGTTGGTATCACAACGTTTCGGCCGATATGTTCTCTGGGCTTTTTTAGCTGTATATCGATCCCCGTAATTTAAATAAAGGGTTCAGGTCTGAATTCACTGCAAGCTATCCTGATTGACATAGACGTTCTTGTATTCATATGTATATCTCCACCACATAAATAGCAGTTGATACAGCAGAAGGTTAGACTATTCCTAACCCTGAAAAGGAAACTACAACATAATTTACAACGGACCTGATGAAGGTTGTAGGGCGTAGGGGCCGAAACGTTGTGATAAAAACAATAAAATAAGTACAATAGTCCTCAAGTAAATAGTGTAAATAGTGATAACACCTCATCCACAAAATTCAGAGAGAAAATACGAATAATATTGCTGAATAAATCCTAGAGAGAGATGATGATGCTTCTTTCTATAGGGTTGAACATTTTAAGAAGGTTGTAGAATGAGTCGGCTGGATATCGTTGTTGTTGCAACGAAGGACATTCCAAATTTCTTATCTTAGAATTAATGAATTTATTCATTCGAAATTAAAAGACTATTAGAATTTTTGAAAAACGTTTATTTTCTGTGTCACTCCCTAAATCCTAAAAAAAAGGCAATCATCAGGCAATGAAACGAACGCTTGACATTCAGTGCAGTGTTGATACCCATGTCCACACTGCTTATATTTACATTCGCTCCATAACTAACATTGAGAACTATTCCTACAAAAATATAACATATCTTAAAGTGTGGGGGATATAGGAACAAACACTGCATAGTGACATCCCGCATAAGCATAGCAAATTTTCAACAACAACAACACCACACGCACGCAGCCACCTACCCTCCATATATATATATATATATATATATATACATATATATATATATATATATATATATATATATATATATATATATATATATATATATTAATTAAGCAATTCAACCCAAGCAAGGCGATAATGCCACTAAGACTCAAGGGCCTACTGGAAGTGAAAAAGAATTTAAATTATTTTCAAGGAATAGGAAAATTCAATCCTAAACAGGGAGCAATGGATAAACCAGCGCTCCTGTTTAAAAAGAATGTGGAGCACCTTTATATTTTAAAAAAAATCAAACTTTTAACACCCCATTTCCGCTGTTAAATAAGGTGAGGTTGATAGTAGAAGAGAGATGCTTAATATACAGGGCTTCTCTAATAGCGAGATGTTTTCGGTAATATGATTTGAATAGAATTTTAATGTTTCCGACCAGAATTTTTTTAACGGTTCTTGTAAATTATGTGTTGATAGATTATGTGTTGATAGATTTGTTTTTTTATAGAACATTGGTCTGATAAGTGACACGTGAGCGATATAGGTAAATGATTTGTGACATGAAGCACAGTCTTATACTGGGCAGAGAAATTGACAACCTATATTGGTCATCGCTAGTTTACATTTGATGGGGTTATTTTGATTAGTGACGACAAGGTTTGCAGTCTTTTCATTTTCTGTATAAATTTTACATGTTTCCTGAAATTACGGCAGAAATATTGTGTTTAATGTTTCTTCGTATAGCGAAAAATACATTTCAAGAGAACAGTCAAAACACGAGGGAAAAATAACAGGCAGAGAAAAAACACCTTTGGAATAGCTACATAAGCGATCAAAAGAACTTCGGACAAAACAATATGTAAAACTTTTGTACTCCCAAACTCTTGCAAAACGAAAAAAACGTAAGGATGGTGGAAAAACTTAAAAAAAGTAATTAAATCTTCTTTATTGGCCGTATTTAATGAAAGATACTTGAAAGAAAAATTGCTTTCTATATATATATATATATATATATATATATATATAGTTAAGTTACGAAGAACTTGGTAAACCGAATGGGTAATTCCAAGGAGGATGAAATCCTGAGAGCTCAATGTGAATACAGAGCTAATATTTAATGAAAAACAGACCACTTTAAGGTACCATTACAATAATTTATTTCACCAAAATCCTTTTTAAAGGACTCCGGATCATCAGGTAACAATTCCAACAACGAATTGAAAGGAAAAATGGGATTAGAAATTAATGGGTAGTGTAATTTTTGTAATTTAACAGAGAGAGTGATAGTTGTAGTTAACGAGGCAAGGTAGATTATAGAGAGGGGTAAATTTCCGGACTCCTTCAAAAAGGATTTTGGTGAAATAAATTATTGTAATGGTACCTTAAAATGGTTTTTTTTTTCATTATATTTATATATATATATATATATATATATATATATATATATATATATATATATATATATATATACGATAGATATACTAAAACATTTTTTTTGTTTATACGTTCTTTTATAGATACAAATATTTAAGTAAATGCTTTGTTTATAATAAACAGTATTAACAACATTTACCGGCATGAATGTCCGAGAAATTTTCATAGAAAATATGCGTCCTCCGAATGGAATCGAACTTGTATCCTATACGGAACCGTCATATAGCCTGACGTGCTTTTACCGATTGAGCCACAGAGGAGCGTTTCGGTTAGAAAGGTCGATTTTATTGTTTTTAAACTATAATTCACCATGATCGAAAGACAACTAGTCAAAACCTAAAATTCTTATCCAGAGACAGTCTTGAAAAGTCGTAAATAATGGCCTAAAATGGCCTAAAAGTAAACTTATTTACTCAATGAAGTAAATCGCTCCATACCAGATTGTCTAGATCAAGCGAAAAATTTGTTCTTTGCTTGGTAAAATCCTATGAAATGATGACTGTAATCGTAACTCGAGTTTCACGCATTCAGACGACTATCTCCATCTCTCTCTTTCTCGCCCCTCTCTCTCTCTCTCTCTCTCTACATATATATATATATATATATATATATATATATATATGTTACACAACAAAACCAAAAATTACCTCATATGGTTATAGATCTATTTCAGCTAACGCGAAGTACGTTGGTCTTATTCAACGACGGTATGAAAGCCTGACGTGCTTTTACCGATTGAGCCACAGAGGAGCGTTTCGGTTAGCAAGATCGATTTTACAGTTTTGAAACTACAATTCTCCATGATCAATGGACAACTTGCCAAAGGCTAAAACACTTATCCAGATGAATTAGAATTCAGACGACTATTTCCATCTCTCTCTCTCTCTCTCTCTCTCTCTCTCTCTCTCTCTCTCTCTCTGTATATATATATATAAATATATATATATTACACAACAAAATCCCAAATTACCTGATGTGGTTGTAGATCTATTACAGCTAACGCGAAGTATGTTGGTCTTATTCAACGCCTGTAGATAGAATATGCAACTGGGGACGGGGGTGAATATGAATGCCGTACCCATATGAGGTAATTTGGGAATTTGTTATATAATTTTTATACTCTGTTATAAAAAATACATTGAGCTCATTTTGTGAATCAGTTTTAATATTTGATATTATTATTATACATCTGGATTATATACTTAAAGATTTATTACTTGCAATATATATATATATATATATATATATATATATATATATATATATTATAATTTTTCACATAGACAAAAACAATTTATTCCTACAAAGATGCAACTTAGTTTTCGGTGCATTTAGTTTGCACCTCGACTGGTGAGAAGCAAAATGGATAATCATTTTGGTTCTCACCAGTCGAAGTGCAACTTAATGCACAGAAACGAGGTTGCATCTTTGTAGGGAGTAAATTGATTTGTCTGTATGAAAAAATTAAAATAAATAATTATTTCTGTACTCTCGCTTTCACTGTAAATATAAAAGTGAACATTGAAGTCAACACTCAGAAGCGACATGCAGTTTCATGCTGTCGATTACGTCTAGTATGAAACAGCCTGTCGCCTCTAACTGTTGACTTCAATGTTCACTTTTATATTTATATTTACATATACTCTATCTCTGATATTGAGCATTTTATCCCATAAATATAGCACACCATGAAACTATATTTCTTCTTATATATGTATGTATATATATATATAACATAAATTAATGACAAAATGAAAACAAGTCTCTCTTTTATGCTTCATGATAATTTTCGAGGGGTTTTGAACAGAAATGGTTTTAAGTGTCTCAGACTTTACAGATATATTGATTTCACTGATTGTCTTTTGTCCTGATGTTCTAATTAAACAAGAATTCTATAGAATTATTTTCCGTCTCCAGATTGAAGAACTGCTTAAAACCTAATTAGTTTATATGCTGATAACTAAGTCAAGAGGTACATGAATAATATATGAGCAACTGGAACATACCTGTCATGTAAAAGGCCCGGTTTAACAAGAATGCCTGTTCGTCTTTAATTACAATAAATTTAAGATCAGAAACACAAAGCATAGCAGGATGATTACAGAAAACTCAGGTTTACCAATCTCGTTTTCAACGTTGTCTCCTTCCTTCTCAATCGTGGTACGAGGGACGATCAACATTTCTTTACAATAATGTTAATTTAATTTAAATTCTAGCGTTCCCAAATGTAGCCTGGATGTAGCCAACAGAATCTTGTCTACTACACTAACCGAATACAGTTCTTGATAATTCTTTATATATATATATATATATATAATATCTAAGTATGTATGAAAGATGATCGAACGTACTTGCAAAATGAAAATAAAAGAAATTGAAACAGCTATAGCACATTTCTCTCATCCTTTAACAACATTACATGGAATGTTATTCGTGAGTATGAACGGATTTTGTTAAAAATTAGCAGACATAATGTGTGTAATTTATTCAAACATATATATATATATATATGTGTGTGTGTGTGTGTGTGTGTGTGTGTGTGCGTGTGTGTGTGTGTGTGTAATTTCTATATATATATGATTTATATATTATATATGCGCGGTACTTATTGGAAAGCGCTCAATATCAGTCATAAAGCTAAGATATCTAGTTGTTTTGAGTTGAGTTTGTTTATGCTGGGTTTCAGGCACTTGCGATCGATATATATATATAAATCAATGACAAATGACAATTTTTTACACGTTTCATCAGTTAGGAATTTATCGGAGTAAATATTGATATTTACGTTGATGTAACTACACATGCGCACAAACGAGATGGAACGCTGAAATTTTAATCTTTTAACTTTAATCATTTTTTTTAATAATATGTGTTTGGATATATAGTCAAGCCAAATTTATTTAGTTTCTTTTTGTTTATATTTTGGTCAATTCTGTTATTAAGTATCTTGTGGCGTACGGTGGCCATTTATAATTTAGTATAACTCAATGTTAAAATAAAACGTTATAATAATAAGTACTTGACAAGAAGAAAGAAGTAAAATACAAACAAAGATAATTAACCATTTCAGTGAATACACTGTTAGTAGCGCGGCTCGGCTTAACGTCCGAAAAATCATAAATCAAAACCCAAATCATCGACGTACAAAAATTCACACTAATTCGACTGGATAGTTACACTCTATAGTCACTCAATAATCACTACAGTCAGTAGCCTGACACCGCTATTCATACACCTGGCGGAAATAATATATTCATAACTCCAGAGTGCCACGCTCGAACCTAGGTGTTGATAGTTACTTATTTTTTCCTGTATGACACTATCTATCTATCTATCTATCTATCTATCTATCTGTTATATCTCGTACAAGATATAATAAACAAAGTAAACCCGAGTGTGGTTTTCAATAATAATTTTATAATCGGATGTAGGTATGTCAAAATACAGAGACAGCGTAGGAGTAAGCTAACCTTCTTTTTTGTCGCTCTCTACTGTTTACTGTGGTCGTACTTTATCGGCCACCAGAACGTCCATTATCGTGAATGGGGAAGTTGGGTTATCTCATCACAACACTATCTATCTATCTATCTGAGTCTGTTCAATCCAGCTTTTTGTGATGTACTGTAGCCGTTAATAATTAAGTATAACTCAAGACTTCAATGTTAAAATAAAACGGTATTTAATTGCAACCGTAAATAAATACTTAACAAGAACAACGAAGTAAAAATCAACTAAAGATAATTAACCATTTCAATGAATAAATTGTTAGTAACGAGGCTCGACTTAAATTCCGGTAAATCCTAAATCCAAACCCAAATCATCGACGCACAATAATTCGCACTAATTCGACTGAATAGTTCTACTCAGTAGTCACTCAATAATCATCCCAGTCAGTAGACTGACACCGCTATTTATACACCTGGCGGAAAACATATTCATAATTCCAGAGTGTCAGGTTCGAACCTCGGTGTCGGTAGTAACTCATTTTCTTCTTATATGATCCTATCCCACATTGTGATTATATATATAAAGATATTTCATAACAAGACCAACCTTCCTGCTACCGCGATTACACCAGTTCAGTATCGTCATGCAGTAAGTTAGCCTTTTTATCCTAAGGCACTATATATATATATATATATATATATATATATATATATATATATATATATATATATATATATATATATATATATATATAATATTGATGTATGTTTCATTAAATAATATAGACTAGTTATGGCTATTTATTTTAAGTAAGTTCCTTTCATATTGTCTAATAAGCTTAATAACATTATCATTGAAAGACGAAAGGAAATCACCATATTGATACATATTTTTTTAATCTAATCTAAGCTTCCGGCTTACATAAGCCATTATCAAAGATGACAATCACATTCCAAGATATCAACCAATACACGGACGAAACAATAATGATAGTCTGTTTTTGTTGCAATATATAGACAACCACAATATTACTCGGAATAAACATAATAGGCAAAGAAAAATTTTGTGGTTTAATCCCCCTTTCAATTTAGCGGTAAAAACTAAAATTGGTAAGATATTTTTTAATTTACTGGAACAACATTTCCCAAAAACAACTGAGTTACATAAAATATTTAACAAAAACAATGTAAAACTTAGTTATTGTTGTATGCCGAACGTAGGGACTATTATAAATGGATTGAATAAGAAAAAAAACTAGGAATGATCCACGTAGTAATCCTCCTACTTGTAATTGTAGAAACAAAAACATCTGTCCATTACAGGGAAAATGCCAGCAGGAATGCGTGGTGTATCAAGTGAAAATTTACAAAAATACTGAGGATACTAATCCTAAAAAACATACATAGGTGCTACTCAGGATAAATTTAAAAAAGATATTATAACCACACGAGTATTTTTTAAGAATGCAAAAATTAAACATAGTACCACGCTATCTACCTACGTATGGAAAACCAAACAAGAAGATAATATAGACCCCATCCTTAAATGGGAAATATTAAAAAATGCCCAAAATATAAAGCAGGCCATAAATTTTGCAAATTATGTGTTGAGGAGAAATTAGCCATAGCTTTTATATGATCAACCCAACCAACTATTAAACTCTAAAACTGAAATTCTCAATGTATGTAGACATAAAAAATCTTGGCTACTAAATTAGACGTTTTCCGTTATTGACTTTCCACTGAGTTTTTTTTTTTTTGTTGAATAAATATTCCCCCCACTTAGGTTGTTTTGTTTTTTTGTTTTTTTTTTTTTTTTTTTTTTATTTTGTCACGTGGTATGATTTTAGCTATCACCTATAAATATGTGTTTCTCTTTGCCTCGTTCATAAACTTTCCCTGACGATCCGTTTAGGTGAAACCTAGGTAGGTTTGTCTGGCTCACTAGGTGTATCTATATATATATATATATATATATATATATATATATATATATATATATATATACATAGATAGATAGATAGATAGATAGATAGATAGATAGATAAACATACTGCTGATGAAGAGAAGAAGGAAAAAGATAAGGAGAAAGAAGCAAATTCTCTATTAATATAAATATTCCTACACGTACTCAAAATTTTTAGTCGAAACTTTCTAGCATATTTACATTACCTCTTAGCTTTAATTGAGCAGCTAATGCTGTCAGAATACTGCATTATTGCAAACTTCTCCTCCTTGCGTAATTGCAGATTTTCTTCCCAATACCAAATGCCTGTGTCTTCCTCACCACTAACATTTCGTAATAAGATTTTTCTCATTTTTATCTTTCATTTCTCATATACATTTAGCAAGTTTTGTACTGCTTTTATAATACTCCGTCGACCCAATATAAACTTTTCGTGGACATTTTTATGATTCTACTCTTGCTTTATAAACAAGTCTTTCCACCTGGCAGTTACTGTTTAGCGTACAATTTTACGAACCATAGTAAGAGGTGCGGAGGAGCTTTATCAAGCATTTGTTCTCGAGCAAATATTTAATCATTAGTTTAATATTTAATAAATAAATTAAATACTCAAGTAATTTTTCATGCATTTGTGCAATCAGTTCAGAATGCCTAATAGGCAAATAAATATACCAATCACATGCGCATATCTGATCGTTATTCATCGTATCGTTGTGAAACTCGAGTTGTTGTTCTGATGCAACCGACTTTGTACAGCACTGACAACAAAAATAATGTCCACCTCTGGTTTTGATCCTTTGCCACAAATTCTCTATACATCTGTAATATTTTCTTTGACCCAGGTTCTAACTCGTCGGGTGGTGTTTTTTGGCTCGTTATACGCAAATATACAACCAAACATTATTGGTTTGGGCACATGTCGCCTGAACCCATATTTCGTAATAAGACGTTGTTTACAATTCATGTAATTCGACACAACAGACAGATACCTTTTCTAATCATTGAACCTCATATACAACATCTTATTCAAACATTAGTAAAATACAATAAAACTTAAACAGACATACATTATAAGTTGAATTGAGGATCTCTTATTTTGGATGAATAATTGCTGCGGATCGAAAATGAGTTCATCAGATATACAAAAATAGCAAGTCATTTAAGACAAAGATGTGTCTTCTCACCGGACTTATTCAACATAATGAGAAAGGCAATTCTGAGAGAATTAGATGTCCCAGCAGGATTCATTATTGGCGGTCACAATCTTAACAATATTAGAAAGACTAAACGCTACAAAATGTGACTAACTTTATGTGTATTTGAGTCTATGTTTCTGAAATACGTGCAAACCAAATCAATGTCCACCATTATAAAATCTGGTATTCTCGTGCAAACCGGACATATCGGGTGTAACAGCAAAATTGTCCAAATCGGGTTCCCGCATAATTCTCCAACCCACAAAATGTTTAATAACTAAAAACTACTAAACTAATTTAGTTTTTTTTTTTTACACGTTTTTGGATGAGACTTTTAGACATCTTAACACCAATTGTCGAAAGATTCACTGAAAAATCCTTTGAGTTATTCAGCTAGAAATAGAACACCTTAAAATCTTAACATAAGATCATCTTGTTTTGGATGAGTAATTTCTGCCTGAGTATAGATCTAGGTACCCGCGTGTGTTTCAATTTGAGATAAGCACAGGACAATATTAAAGAACTTCACTATAAACGTCTCATCAAAATTTATTGAGAATTACTTACAGTTGAAAAAATTCTAGAACAATATCAATAAATGATGATGATGATGATGATGATGGTGAAACTGGCGTAGGGATCTAGGTGCCTGTGTGCATTTCAATTCGAGATAAACATAGGACAATATTAAAAAACATAGGACAATATTAAAGAACTTCGCTATAAATGTCTCACAAAATTTGTTAAGAATAGCTTACGACTGAAAAAGTTCTAATAACGTTAATAGCAATAACAATCAATAAATAGTGATGACGATGATACTAACGTAGGGATCTAGGTGCCTGTATGTATTCCAACTTGCGATAAACATTCATATCACTATAAGCGTCACTTGAGTTTTATCGAGAATTTCTTCTTATTATAAAAGATTTATCTCAGTTGCGCAAATTTCATTAATAGCAATAAATGTATTAACTATTATTAAAGTAGTTTCTCATACATTTGAATTCAATAAGCGAATACATATAGAAATAACATGTGCAAGTAGGATTGTTATTTATATTGTTTTGAATTTCATGTTTAGGTTCACTTTACACAGGGTCGACAATGATACGGTTCTCTGGGAAAAAGGGTTGAGTGACTGCTTTCTTTCCATCTACCGACATGAAGTTCAGTAGATGGCAGACTTATCCTTCCTGAACTGAAAATTCATGCGCAATTTATATGTTTACAACGGCTGTCAATGGCGTAGGGTGCGGACGTAGTTGTAAGCTCAAATTCGCACCCACTTGAGATAAATGCTCGCGGCGAGGAAAATGAGTGGAGGAAAAAAAAAACGTATTTTCCGTCCAATCGTTTTTTAGGTTCACTACACACCTAAAGAAACTTTTGAATAACCAGGTTTACGAGAGCGGGGGGTTCAATACTTACGTAAAGCTATCTTCTTATCATAAAATACGAATCGGTATTGAATTAGACATTTTTTTAAAGCGCATCTAAAGTATCAAATAGCACAGATTACTTTCCCGGGATTTTAACTTCTTTTTCTTTAACTAATCTGGAGAGAAATCCTGATTTGTTTTAGTCCTGGCTCATTTCCAAACTCCATAAAACTTAATTAAAGAGAGTGAAAGAAAGAAAGAAAGAAAGAAAGAAAGAAAGAAAAAAGAGAGAGAGAGAGAGAGAGAAAGAAAGAAAAAAAGAAAAAGTATTTGTTCAAATAGAGGGCGGTTCTTTGTGAAAAGGACATCTGTAATCATTTACGAAGATTTATCTTAACTCAAATTATCCGCGTAATAGGTTAATTTCACGGCATTGTGTGGGAAGGCTTTACGGGATGAGAGGAGATGGGCGTCGGCAGTCAAGCCTATGTTTTATTTTAAGGTGAAGAAGATTAAATTGGCTAGGAATAAGAAAAGTGAGAGTGGGTGACGGGCACGAGAATGTCTAACTTTTATTACACGCTCGCATTTTCTCCTTTTCTTTTCTGTCTAACTTTTTAATATGTTTATCTAGGTATCTTCAAAGATACGCTAAAAAATGAGAACACATGACAAAAATAAATGCCCAATTTAATAAAAAACTAAGGGTTATAATCGAAATCTTGATGCTATTATTAAAATGGAAAAAAACAAAGGATTTTTTCATTATTAATCTATATTTTTTAATCCTATTGAAGAACCTTCGAAATTTAAAAACATTTTTCTTACGTCAGCAGTTGACCATAAAATTAGTCTAAGTAAATTTAATATTTTTCTGTTTTTTGCGGTCAAATCAAAAAACAAAACAAAACAAAAGATGATGGCAGCACTTTCCAAGCATTCTTCAAGCATTGAAAAAATTTCACTCTTACTCTACGAACTCTCTCTCTCTCTCTCCCCCCTCTCTCTCAAAGATTACTTTGCCAAATTTAGTCATTTTTTTGCGGCGCAATTACACATTTATTTGGAAATTATTGCAAAAATTCGATAATTGCCGAATTTTAATGAAACTTTCAGGACTTATTCACAAATGAACTAAATTATTATTTTTTAAATTCCTTTTTAGAAAATCTTTGTAAAATTAATTTGACTCTTTTTCAAATAATTCTTTTCAACCTGTGTTTAAAATGGACACACAAATCGTGAAAATACTTTTCCAATTTCAGTAGAGAATTACAGCCTATAAAATCTCTAAATATACACTGCATCGTATCTGTATTTGCTCGCTTTCATCCCTAAAGCTAGAACACTGTTTATGCGTGTATATATATATATATATATATATATATATATATATATATATATATATATATATATATATATAATGTGTGTGTGTATAAAAAATCAGTATAATATATATATATATATATATATATATATATATATAAAAAAGACTGAATAAAGCAAAGAAATACTCCTTTCCCATATCAACATACACTACAGACAAAAAGTTTGGGGACTGCTTGCATTTTCTTTTTCTTTTTTTACAAAATAAAAGAACACCTGAAAATGAAATGTTTTTTTTTATCTTTTGAAAATAAAAAATAAAATTTCAGTAACTACAGTGTATTTGCCTTTTTTTTTTTTTTTTTTTTACAAAACATAAGCATTTATGAAGAAATTATCATATAACAGCATTATATTTTGTTTTTGTCAACAAAACCACCACCTGCCTTAATTATTACTTTACAAATTCTTAGAATTCTTTCCAACAAAAAAAAAAAAAAGATGATGGCAGCCCTTCCCAAGCATTCTTCAAGCATTGAAAAAATCTCACTCTCACTCTTCGAACTCTTTCTCTCTCTCTCTCTCTCTGAAAGATTACTTTGCCAAATAGTCTTTTTTTTTCGGCGCAAAACACACTGATTTAATTTTAAACATTCTTGCAAAAATCAGATAATTGTCGGATTTTAATGAAACTTTCAGGACTTATTCACAAATAAGTGAAATTATTTTAGAAATGTTTCATTTTTAGAAAATCCTTCTTATTTTATTTTATTATTATTTTCATTATTTTTTTTACATCGGCTAACCCCTCGCCTTAATTTTTATGAAATTTCGTGAAATTCTTTTTTGATGACGCTTATATTAGTTATAAGGACAAGTCCTCGGAGAATTATCAAAATTTGGGGGTGAAATAGGACCCTCAGTTACCGTAAATTTACTCTGAATCGTAAAATAAGAATGCAATAAAACCAAGACATTATTTAATTAGAAAAGCTTTTAAATAGCTTTTATGGACACTATCGTTTTAAGAAGAAATGTTTCTGAATAATTCATTTTCATAAGAATTGTTTTCATTTTTCTTTAATTTGAATTATAATAATTTGTCAGATTATTTTGGATTATTAAATTATATTTTTAATCCTTTTTAGAACCTTCAAAATTTGTGTTAACATTGTTTTTCTTGTCTCAGCAGGTCACCATACATTAATATGAGACATTTAAACGATGCAAAACACACTGATTAGAAAAAACTCTTGCAAAAGTCTGATAATTGTCGGATTTTAATGAAACTTTCAGGACTTACAAATGAATGAAATTATTTTAGACGCGTTACTTATAATAGATATCTTTTTTTTTCAGTCATTTTTAAGAAATTTCGAGAAATTCATTTTTTTGTACGGCTTAATATTTATTTTAATTATAATCAGAAGTCTTTGAAAAATTTTAATCATTAAAGGTTTATAAAACAGTAGCTCTAATTACTGAAAATTTGCTCTTAATCGTAAAATAAAAATGCAACAAAACTACACGTTTATTTAAGGAGAAAAGCTTTTATTTTCCTTTATGAATGACATATATCAGGGACACGATTGTCTGAAGTAAAAAAAAAAGTTTTTGATTTATTTTGAATTTTTACAAAAATTGTTATCATTTTAATTTATTTTAATTACGATGATTTATAAAATTTTAAATATTTTCTATTAATTTGTACAGGTTTAGTAATATTGTTATTAATTAAAAACAATATTTAATAATCATAGATGGAAAAGCTGAATATGGAAGTCAACGAAGCCTAGTATTTTAAATAGAATTTTGAATTTTTTTGTTTCTGAGTGTATAAACGTGTGGATTTTTGTAAATACGGATGCTCATACATGACATTTTCAGAGAATATGAGCGGTAAGAATTTAAAGCCAAAGTACATATATTTAGATTTAAATTCAAATCTAAATTTAAAGTTAAAATTTTAGATTTTAATTCAAATTTAAAATTAAAATTTTAGATTTTAATTTAAATTTGGCAACATCAAGCTGTCAACATAGATGTCACTCTCTCATAAAACATCCACATTCGCGTTAAAAAAAAAACTGCAATATTTTAAATTAAAAGAAATTAATATTTGTTTCACACCAGATTAATGAAATTTTAAGTCACATAATCTTCCTCAAATAAAGTTTCAGAAAAGTAAATTTTATTTTTGGGAGATTTTTTTGAGAAAGTTCTGCTGAAAGAATTGTAAATATGGCTAAAATCAGCGATTTTTAGCGATTTAAAAAAAAAAAATTCTCACCAATCTAATTTCTTTCTAATTTCATTTTGAAATATAGCAATTATTTTGCTTGTTGCAAATATTAAATTTAATCTATTAGTTTGAAATTAAAAGTAAAATAAAAGGTTCAAGAGAAAACTTTGGTATCGCTTTTATTTAGAGGTACCTGTGTTTTTAGAGTATGGTGCTCGAAATAGTGGATAAACAGGAATTCCAAGCCATTATCCATTACACCAGCACACCCTAGCTTCCAGCACCTGGTATTCCCAAGAAGTCACCCATCTAGGTGTTGACCATGCACAACATTGCTCAACTTAAGTTGTCGCCCATCGAGGAAATGACCTGATATTCCCAAGCAATCACCCATAGAGGAAATGACCTGGTATTCCCAAGCAGTCACTCATCTAGGTACTGACCAGGCTTAACATTGCTTAACTTGTCACCCATCGAGGAAATGACCTGGTATTCTCAAGTTGTCACCCATCGAGGAAATATCATGGTATTCCCATATTGACATCCAACGAGGAAATGACATGGTATTACGAAGCAGTCACCGATTTAGGTACTGACCAGGTTCAACATTGCTTAACTTAAGTTGTCGCGCATCAAGGAAATGACCTGTCATTCCCAACTTGTCACCCATCGAAAAAATGACCTGGTATTTCCAAGTTGCCACCCATCGAGGAAATGACCTGGTACTCCCAATTTGTCACCCATCAAGGAAATGACGATATTCTCAAGCACTCACCCATCTAGGTACTGACCAGGCTTAACATTGCTTAACTAGCATTGCTTAATTAGGCTCAACATTGCTTAACTTAAGTTGTCACCCATCGAGGAAATGACCTGATATTCCCAAGCAATCACCCATCTAGGTACTGACAAGGCTCAACATTGATTAACTTAAGTTGTCAACCATCGAGGAAATGTCAACCATCGAGGAAATGACCTGTTATTCCCAAGCAGTCACACATCTAAGTACTGACCAGATTCAACATTGCTTAACATAAGTTGTCACCCATCGAGAAAATGGCCAAGTATTCCCAATATTTCACCCCTCGAAGAAATGAACAGGTATTCCCAATTTTTCACCCATCGACGAAATTACCTGGTATTCCCAAGCGGTCACCCACCTAGGTACTGAATAGGCTCAATATTGCTTAACGTAAGCTGTCAACCACTGATGAAATGACCTGATATTCCCAAGTTGTCATCCATTGAGGAAATGACCTGATATTCCGTAGCAGTCACCCATCTAGGTACAGACAAGTCTCAACATTGCTTAGCTTAAGTTTTCACCCATAAAGGAAATGACCCGGTTTTCCCAAATCGTCATCCATCGAGGAAATTACCTGGTATTCCCAATTTGTCCCCCAACCAATATATGACCTGGTATTCCCAACTTATCACCCATCGAGGAAATGACCTGTTATTCCCAAGGACTCACCCATTTAGGTACTGACCAAGCTCAACATTTCTCAACTTAAGTTGTCACCAATCGGGGAAATGACCTGGTATTCTCAAAATGTCACTGATCTATTAAATGACTTGGTATTCCCAAGTTGTCACGCATCGAGGAAAAGACCTGGTATCCTAAAGCAGTTACCCATCTAGGTACTAGCCAGACTCAATATTGCTTACCTTAAGTTGTCGCCCATCGAGGAAATGACCTGGTATTCCCAAGTTGACCCCTATCGAGGAAATGACCTCGTATTCCCAAGTTATCACACATCGAGGAAATGACCTGGTATTCCCAAGCAGTCACCCATCTAGGTTCTGACCA